GGAAAGCAGCAATCCAACAGGGTGCAAGATACCCGGGATCTCAGCAGTCTGTTCCATCAGAACTGCAAATCAGTCTGTAAGAAAATGCTACTTAGGGTCAAGGAAGGAGGAGAGCAGGAGCTGGAACTCAGGAATTGAAATCAATTCCTGCCTTACCATGCACAGCTCTCCCCTGCAAAGACACTGTGAGCTAACTCAGATAACTATTTCTCATTGTTTTCATGTCATTCAGGTATCCACCTTGAAGATATGGAGCCAAGCCTCTCTACAGCTTGCTTTCTTCAGCACAGCCTCCAAATAATAACATGTAATAAGAACATTTATTTCCTCTCACCTTTAACCTGCTCTTCAAAATTGTACCTCTTCACCAAAACAACTTCTCATCTCAGCTGGAAACCACAAATTGCAAATACTCCGTTTATCCCCAGTGATGCAAATACAACAGAAACAACAACAAAATCAAGTAAAATGTTGATGAAAACACAGCCAGGCAGTAGCAACACCTACTAGGGACAGAAAAATGAACTGGTTTTGGCTCAACAGGTGGGCATATCCATTGGTTTCAGGGCAGGGCTTCCCAGGGCATAGAGGCAGAGCTAACCTAATCCAGCATCTCCCAGGTCTACTCCTAGCTCTGTCCTTCATATGCATCTAGGGAAAGCAGGGATAATTCTGTATCTGATGAAGCTGTTTAAGAAGGGCCAAACTCTAACCTAAAGTCAGCCTGAGCAATACAAAGTTTAATCTCAGATTTGCCTTGAAATAGCCCAACGAGGATCCCAAGACTCAGGTAATTTGCAGTGCTGCCATAAAAGAGAAGGAAAAAAAAGTCATCTGAACTAAGGAGAACCTTGCTGACTCTGCAATGGCATCTGCCATACCCAGCTGGGGAGGTGACCTGGAGCTGCAGCCCTGTGCCCATGCAATCCAGGATGGGCAGTGCTGGGGGCTGCTCCCCTGTGCCTGCTCTCCAGGTGCAGACAGGAGCAGCTGGCAAGGGGGAGCTCCGGGGGGAAAGCCCCCCTGGCACCTGGGAGCAGAGCAGGGCTTCTGCAGGGCAGCAGCAGCAGAGGCTGCACCCCTGTGCACATCCCCACTGCCAGCACCAGAGCCTGGCTTCTCTGTCCAGCCCAGCCACTGAGCCTGGGTGAGTCCGGGCCTGCAGCCTCTCTGCTCTGCCCGTGGAAAATGGACAAACCTGCAGGGAAGGAGGGGACAAGCCACCAGCCAAGGTGAGCACAGCCAGTGTCAGAGGGGACATCACTGGAGAGCAAAGACAAGCTGTAACAGATGCTCTGGGCTAGAGTCAGGTCATGAGCAGTGAGTTCACAGGGGACATCTGCCACCAGTTTGATCAAGCCACCCCCAGAACCATCCCTGGTGACCTTTCAGCATCACCCAAAACTGAAGCAGCAGAAGCAGGAACACAGCTAAATCTCAGTGAAGCCTTTCTGGTGTCTTGCAGGGACTGTCCCATCTCTTCCTGAAGAGCCTCTAGGGCACTCACCACCATCCAGCCCCTCCAGGGACTCCTGGCAGTCCAAACCCACTGCCCCCACAGCACCCCACTCCCTAGAGGAGCTCCACCCTCCACAAACAAATGAAGTATCACATAAACACACAGGGCTTGGGATTTGTGGCGTATGGAGCTTGTAAGGCAGATAAAAAGATCCAGTTCTGCCTTTAATGAATTGCAGCATTTTAAACAAAATCATCCTAAAGGTATTACTGTATGCAATTTACTTCAGCAAACAACAGACAACAAGTAAAAACATTTTTGCCTAAATAATGTCAGCAGCACTAGGCCCTAAAAAACCCCTAATGAATCTGGAAAAACAATTAGGGCTCAATAACATTAACCACCTCACAGGATGACAAGCCATTTTACTGTGGGCAGATTAGACACATTAGCTATTAGTGGCTCTAATGATGGTCTTACTCCTATTTTGACCATTTTACAGCTCAAAATTGAGCAGTTTTACCATCTGACAGAACATTCAGCATTTGTCAGACAGGAGATGCTTTCACTGTATGACTACCCCGAACCTCTGGTCTCTTGAAATTTAAAGGCATCCGTGGCTATTTGTGCAGGTATTTATATTTGCAAAGCAGTTCTGGAAATTCATTCAAACGCAAAACCCCCATTGAATCATTCCACCAGAACCAGGCCAGTCTGGTTCTTGCATGAGCAAGAGCAGGGGTCAGATCTTTCCATAAGGTTTCTGGCTGTACTGAGAGGAGAAGGAAGCAGCACTGGAGACTGAGGGGCCACCAGCACTTGGTTGCCAGGGTTCAACCCAAACCACCCCGAATTACCCTGATGCTGCTGCTGAACCTGCTAAGTCACCTAGTGATGCTGTCCTTGCTCCACGTACAGAAGGCAAAGGGGGAACAGTCTTTCTGAGGTTTGAAAGATATGATTTCATCAAATTAATTAGCCAACGTGCACCTCAGCAATAGGAGTCCCGTGAGTGCATGGCAGGAGAAAGTTCCAAACCTAGCAGGTGTTTGCTCTGTGTAGCAAGAACCTGGCTATGCAATACCAAAAATGCCACTCTATTACACAAAGCAGCACTGGATTTTTAGCCCAGATTAATTCCAATTTATGCTCTAAACTGAGTGAAACCAAAATTGTCTGCTAACCAGAATGTGGCAGGAGGGCTAGGGAGAACAGCAATTAACACCGTTCTTAAATAACATTTTATTAATAATACATTAAAGCATGCTTAATATTAGACTATTATGGAAAGCCATATTACTTGAAAGTTCAGATGCAGGTTTTCTGTGAAGCTCTATCCCTCCTTTCCCATTCCAACAGAGACTGACATTCTCTGGAATTTTCCAGCAGAAAGTTAAATTTGGAGTTTTTACAGCTGGCTTGCTTAGGGACAGCAGGACAAGAGCAAAGAGTTTCTGTTAACCTCAAATACACAGCAGCTTGTCTGACGTGGGCTTCAGCTTAAAAATCTTATATCATGAAGAGAAGGAAATTAAAGCAGCAAAAATAGAGTTCTACTTCACAAGTGTTGGAATAATACAGTTCACTATACTCACTACATATCTCCAGCATACAATTTCTCTTAAAAACCACTTTTAAAGCAGATTGATTTAAAGTTCATTGTATTTAGTGCTGTACCAACTCATTAAGAGGCTCAGGAAAGAAACAACAGCTCCTTTTATTGCATGAGACTCTCTTCAATAGCATCTCTGAGATAATCACTATGTTTAGAGAGTAGAAAAACATATGGGCAAGTGAAATAGCTGATAAGCCACACAGAGTTTTTGTTACTAAACCATGTGGTGGAAATGGTCTGAAACTGTTTTGTAAACTGAAACTGCAGCAGCACTACCAATCTTCAAACAACATTTGGTTCTCTAACATGACAACTAATAGACCAAACTCTTTCCTACATAACCTGGGGGGTAATTAAAAAAAAAAAAAAAAAAAAGCTGGATTCATCTACGCCCAAAACTGGGGGAATTTCGTGCAAAGGATCAAGATTAACTAATAGTGAAGAAGATCAGTGTAGCTTCTAGTGTTAGTTAAGTGCTTTAGGAGAGGGATCCTGCATCTCGACCTTATAGCCAGGTCTGTATTAAAGGCAGGACTTCTTCCAGGCCTGCCTAATGGGATAGTATCAGCACATTCCTGCTTATCACCCATCATTGCTCAGGTTTCCTCCAGGCTTTGGGGGCTAACCAGCAAATGTGCATTTCAAGAACTGTAAGGTTTCTGTTGTCCCAGAAGACAAGATGTTAAGCTTGATATTGACATCAGCTCCAGTTCATGACAAAGGCAAACACATTCAGAAAATACTGAAGAATTTAAAATAAAACTGTACGCCACTTAAAAACAAACAAAAATATTTTTAAAAGGGACAATAAGTCCCTTGAATTTTGGATCTGAATCATCTTACTAAAGAGGGTATTTCTGGAGGCTGTTTGATTACCACTCACTCTGATCTTTAATTTGCTTGGAGGACAGGGACAAAAAACCAGCTTCTCTCTGGGAAAGGGAGGGAAATCTGCCTCTCTTCCAATTGCCTCTATTGTACCAAACATGCGAGAAATTTTTGAGGGGATGCAAGTCTCCACTGCAGACGCTTTTAAAGGAGAGTGATTAAAAAATCCTGCCCAGCGCAGGGACCCGGTCGGTTTTCTCGGCTCGCAGCTGTGGCAGCTTGGTCGCGGCATTCCCCCTCTCCTGTGCAGCTGGGCTAGCGAAACGGGCCCCGAGGATTATCGCCATTTCCAGCCACGTCAAGAGCAGAGGGTGCCTTTTCACGTGGCTTCTATAATAAACCACACGGAGCCAAGGAGCGGCGCGGAGCCTCCCGGGCTGGAGCGGGCTCTGGCTGGGATGCACATCCGCGGAGAATCCCTGCATCCAGCGCAGGCATCCCGGAGCCCCACGGCCGGGCTGTGCACACACATCCCTGCGCATCCCGGGGCTCCAGGGGCCGGGCTCTGTGCACACACATCCCTGCGCATCCCGGAGCTCTATGGCCGGGCTGTGCACACACATCCCTGAGCATCCCGGAGTTCCAGGGGCCGGGGTCTGAGCACACGGGCTCTGAGCACACACATCCCTGCGCATCCCGGAGCCGCACGGGCCGGGCTCTGCCGGCAGCCCCGGGCTTTGTTCGCAGCCACGGGCGCTGCCGGTGCCTCTGATATCCGGCCAGCGAGCAGCATCCCTTTGTGCAGGCGACCGCCGCACCCTCGGAACCTCTCCCCTCGCACGGCTCTCCCCTCGGGGACGAGCCTCCATCCCCGCGCCGAGCCCCTTCTCCTCGCCGCAGCCAACGGAGCCACCCCAAAAAAAGTTTTGCCGGGCAGAAGGAGCCCTGCCCGCCTGCCGCCCGCTGTGAGAAAACAAAGGGTCGGGGAAGAAAGAATAAAGTTGGGGCTCGGGCCGGGGAGCGGGCCGGGCGGGCTCGGGCCGCGGCCGGCGGTCCCCGCTGCCGTCCCCGCTGCCCTTGGGCCGCGCACGGCGGTACCTGAACAGGGCGACCGCAGTCTGGTTCCTCCTCCACGCCTTGCCCTGCTGCAGCAGCACCCCCTGCACGATCTCCTTCTCGTCGGGCAGCCGGTACACCGGGAACACGTAGAGCCAGCAGAGGACGAAGACGCCCAGGGCGCTGGCGCCCACGGGCAGGCGGGTGCGCGGCCACTTCCACGGCAGCCCCGCCATCCTCCTCCTGCTCCCGCAGCGCCGCCGCGGCTCCGGGCCGCGCTCCCACATCAGGCCCGCGCCATGCGGAGCCGCGGGCGGGGGCCCGGCCCGGCTCGGCTCGGCCCGGCCCGGCTCAGCTCCGCTCAGCCCCGCCGCCCGCAGCCATCGCCGCCGGGGGAGCGGGGCTGCTGCTGCCGCTGCGCCGCGGCTCGCTGCTCTCGGCGGCGGTGGCGGCTGCCGCCCTTCCTCTCAGTCATTTGGTCCCTCGCGTTCCCCGCCAGATGATGCTCCGCCGCTCCCCGCCCTCCCTCCGCCTCCTGCCGAGCCCCTCGCTGAGGACCGACCCGGTAAATTTCCACCCCGCCCCGGCCGCGGGGCGCTCCGGCCTCGCTGCCCGGCCCGCGGGGGAGGGAGGGAGGGAGCGGAGACCTCGGTGCTGCGGGCTCGGCTCCGCCGCCACGCCCGGCCCCCTCGCCGCGGGCACCGAGCGGAGGGAGGGAGGATCGCAGGCTCGGAGGGAGGTCCCGCTCCGGTCTCGCCCCGGCTCCCACCGACCGCTCTCCCGCTCCTTCTCCTTCCCTCCCGGAGCCTGGCTCTGTTCCCCGGCAGAGGCCGCAGCTGCTCCAGCGCGCCCGGCGGCACCGACCCCTGCCCGCCGCCGCTCCTGCCGTGGCCGCCCCGGGCCGCCCCCAGCGCTCCGGACCCGCCCCGGGCTCCAGCCGAGAGCCCCGGGCCGCGATCACCGCGTCCGCCCGCTCAAAGCGTGTCCCGCACGAAGGACATCCTACAGAAAGCACACAGCAAAATCTGCGCCTTAAGGTTCTCCTGGGAGAATGCAGCGAAGCGGGAGCGCGGCAAGCCCAAGAGCAGAGCGTGCCCTGCCAGCGGCAGCAGCTCCTGCGGGGAGCGGCTGAGGGCACTCTTCATCCTCTCCAGCCCGGAGATGAGGAGCTCGGGGGCACACCTCGCAGCTGTTCGGCAGCTCCCTGGAGGGGAAGCAGAGGGACAAGCGCTGCTCTCGTCTCCGTGCTGACCCTGAAGAGACCCGAGGGAATGCCGTGAAGCTGTGTCAGGGGCGTTTGGGCTGGATCTCAGGAAAAGGTTCTTCACCCAGATAGTGCTGGGCACTGTAACAGGCTCCCCGGGGAAATGCTCGTGGTATCAACCCCGACCCAGTTCAAGAAACATTTGGACAACACTCTCAGGCACACGGTGGATCCTTGGGGTTGTCCTGTGCAGGAGCAGGAGCTGGATTTCGATGATCCTTTTGGGTTTCTTCCAGACCCTGATTGTCTGTGCCCCTCTGTGCCCCTGGGGTGGTTGGGTCTGTGAAGAGAGCACAGTGAGGGGCTGATGGTGCTCCAGCCCTCTGGGGCTGCTGCTGCCCTGCTCAGAGTGAGGGAGAGCCGGCAGAGAAGCCACCCACAAACCAAGGAGCAGCAGCACGACCCTCGCACACCTATGGCAGTGCCCAGCTCAGGCTTCCCGTGGGGAATTCATCTGCACACCAGGCTGAGGGTGCCACAGCCCTCAGCCCTCCTAAACCTCCAGTGCCATCGTTGATGCCAGCAGAGTGACCCCAGCAGTGGAAAGCGCCTCTCTGATAATCAGGCTGAAACACGGGAGGCACGCTCCACTCCTCTCAGCATCTCAGTGGCAGATCTGACTTTCAGAGCCCGCTCTCTAGTGCCTGGCACAAAGGCAGACTCAGCCCAGGCTGGTCCCATCCATCTCCAGGCACACCTTTCAGACCCACTGGAAACACTGCAGCTACCACATAAGCTGGGTGAGCAGCCAGCTGCTTTCCAGACCTTCACCACACGGAGTCTCGGCTGTTCTGGGGCAACTTTCAGGGCTGAGTGGTAATTAAGGGAATTAAGGGGTAATTGGGTGAAGGAACGAAATCAAGAAGAAAGTTTGATACAGTTAGTTTGCTATCTCCTGGGCCTAAGGCAGCAATACAATGCCATAAATACTAGCTGGGTGTTTCAACAGTGTTTTCAGCTAGAGATGCCAACATGCTTAGTTCTGAGTGCAAAACTAAATCTGGAAATCTCAATGCACTTTCAGCGATTGAGGGAAAGAATAACATTCTCATTCACAGCATGTTGCTGTGTAGAAATATACACTGACAAACAGAACATTTACTTCATGATGTCTAATGAACATAAAAATGCCAGAAACATGTAATTGCAGAAGAAATGTCATTTTCATTCCTATTTGGTATGCTACAGTTGTCTGGAGTGTTATAGGTGTTCTCTCTGGACAAAAATGGAAAATGAAACTGAGCAAGGCATTTTGATTAGCCTCTAGAAAAAAAAAATTTAGAACCAGGTAAATATTTTCATTTTGGTGGGGAAATTATTTACCAACAGCAGAATAAACCAGAATAGATGTTCAGTCACATCTGTTAAAAACAAAAAGGACCATTCAGTCTCTGGAGACTAATTCAAAACATAGTTAGAGCCATTAAAAGTAAAACAAAGAAAGTGATTGAAAAAAAGATGAACAGAACTGTATCCCAAATTAGGTCCTGGCTGTTTGCTCACCTTTGGTTGAGAAGAGACAGACTGGACACTCTGTGTTGCTTTGGAAATGAGAGAGTGGAAAAGAACAAGAGAAAGCAGGAACGACTTATTCTTTCAATGTGCAAGCTGCTTGCAATGAGTTAAAGCATACCCAATACACACAAGATTTTGGGATATCTTTTATTTGTGATCCTGTGGGAGGTTCCTAAGCGTTTCCTGCGCTGTTTTGTGAGTCCCTTTCAGCGTGAAGCCCCCAGGCAGGCTCTCACAGGGCTGGTGCACCCCTGCCCGCTGTCCCCGGGAGCAGCGCAGGGACAGAGCTGCCCTGGGAGCTCTGCCTGTCCCTGGTGCCTGCACGGCCGGGGAGCTCAGAGCCTGCTCTGGTTCCCTGTGCAGCGTCATCCCTCGCTGTCCTTTCCTCTGGCACACCGCTCCTTTCTGCTGGCACTGACGGCTGAGGGTGGACAATAAACAGGAGGTAAGAGAAAACTGCCAAAAATGAACCTTGCTTACGAGCGAGTAGCCTGAAACGCTTCAGCGACGCTTTGCAGTTGTTGAGAAGATACAGAGATGGTGTGATCAACAATCTGTATTTTTAAATTGAAGCAGAAAATTGATATTCAGGCATGATTCCACTCTTTTGAACTCCATTTTAGGGAGAATTGATGGTGAGTTTAACCTCACCTCCACTACTTGGTTCCAAGATCCCAGTCAGAACGGCCAGGTAATCCTGGGCAGAATCTGTCCACTATAGAAAAAAAAAGAAAAAAAAGTTGTTCTGAGAGGTGCCTTTAAAAATCAGCACAGGGAAAAGCAACGAGGGACAGCATGGAATAAACCAGAAAAAAAAGTTGTTCTGAGAGGTGCCTTTAAAAATCAGCACAGGGAAAAGCAACGAGGGACAGCATGGAATCAAACGCCTTTTAAACCCTCAGGGGACACAGCGTGCTGCTCACGGATGGGAAGGAAACGCCGTGCTTGTTTTCCCGGTTTCCCCCCAAAATGCGGAGCAGGATCCCCTGCGTTCCCTGCTGCGTTCCTGCGCTGCCCCTGGCACTGCTCAGCCAACACCTTGCCCAGCCACAGATTCCAGGCTTTCTTCTTCCCCCTGCTCCCAGCCCAAAACACTGGCGAAGATCGGAACTACATCCTCCCAGAGATCCAGCTTTTGCCTGCTTTCGTCTGAAGCATCGTGCACTCCTACAGGCATCCCCCTGTACCTCGTCTTTGCACTCTCTCAGCTCTCTCGCTTCCAAAATAACAGGGAATTTCCCTCCACTTCAGCATCCCACACACTCTCTGTTCTGCAGAATTTAGCAGAGGAGTTGCACTGCAATCAGTTTTCAGGGTATGGCATCCCTTTAGTGGATGGAAATGTCACCATGCCGTATACCTGGCAACTCCATCACCTTCCCAGTGCACCCCGTTACCACCTGACTAAAACTCCTTGCTCTGCTGTGCCCTCTGTTCTGCAAGTATTTCATGCTATGTTAGTAGAGTCTATATGAAAATGGGATGGTATTTTTCAAGGGAAAACAAAGCTGAAAGAAAAGTAAGCACTCTGTGTGGAACCCCAGCCCTTATTCCCCACTGCCATAAATAACCAGTGCTCCTTTGGTACGGGGTTGTTTTGGACCCAATGTACAGCACAAAAATATTCAGCAATCATCACCTGTCTCTACTATCATTGTAGGCCAGATTTTGTGTGGTGTCACCAGTGAACAGGTTGATTTCTCTGAATTCCTTCTGTTCACACAGATCTAAAACTGGCATCTGAATCTCAGAACAGCACAAACACTGAAATGTATGAATGGATGCACAGTTGCCCTGTTGGCAAATTCCCACTATGCCTCTCCCTATCAGAATTTACTCTGCAGCTCTGTTGAAACCACCCACAAATGTATATTCTCACTGATAAAGCATTTTAAGCCCCTAATTTGACAGAGAGTTTTATATAATCCTATTAAAGGGGAGAATTGTAACTACAATATCAAATTAATTCCTGCAAAGTCCTGGTGTCCAAAAGCTAATCAGTTTTTACCTGGCTTGTACCAGTTGTACCAGTCCTCTGAAAAAACATTATTTTTTATACAAAAACAGTTTTGCCACGTTTTCCCCTCAGCTGTCATGCTGCAATAGTACCATTACTGTGACAACATCTGCACTCATCCTTCCAGCTGCACAGAGGAGTCAGAGTGAAGCATAAAATGGGGGAGAATGACTTACTGATGAGAGACAGAGCTCATTCTCTAAAGCTGAGAAGCTCTTACATGAGCAGGGTTGAAAGGACTTTCAAAACATCTTTTTCTGCCAACAGTGATGTTGGCTGGTAAAAAGGTGGAACAAGAATGAGTGAAAACATGCAGGAGTAATTGACAAGGAATGTGTCAAGGCATTAGCCACAGGTACTTTGCTTTTTGGTTCTGCATGGAAAGAAGGTTTTCTCATAAAATGGAATTTTATGTGTTCCTACACAGGCAATTTGTACAACCTTACCATTGCTGCTGTACATTATTGAAGTAAGGCATAAAAACCAGACTTCTGTTCTACAGCACTGGCTTC